AGTTGAAAATTACAGTCATTGCAGATTGTGCCCGAAAGGCACGTGCAATTATAAGATAATTTTCAAATATAACTCGAAGTGAAAATTCTTAATTGCACTCCCATCTATTCCAATCCCTTTATTTGTTTAAATACAATTTCAAAGATAAATTGATAAAAAGCAGATTGTATTGAAAAATATATTTTTGTAATATGTGTCTAGCCAGTTGTGTAAAAAGACTGTAGTATGCAATATTTCTCAGCCAAAGGCAGTAAAAGATTAAGTCAAATTTTCTAACAGATAAAAAGTCCGTGTTCTGCTCTTTTTAAAAAAGCTCTTAACATCAGAGATGATTTTTATTATTAAACACTTTAACATTAATTGCAATCTAGTACGCAGTAATACAAATAACAAACTCAGTCTACTTCGCTACTCTTAAGTATTACAGTACTGTGAAGTTAAAAGGTTTCACTCTGTTTAAAAACGCGACCAAAGTTCATTAGGTTTGCGATGAAATATTATCAAATGAGTGATCTTCAAAACGCTTAGTTGTTCATTCTGTTTGCCAGCAATATGCCCCCAAAACATTTTGGAAAACTTGCAAAATCAATTTACATTAATTAAAAATTGATGTAAAATCGGTCACAAATTCGGACAGGTTGGTGAAATTTCTCATTTGTTGGATTGGATGTCAACTTTAGAAATAAAGTACACAGAAAAGGTAAGGCATTTGCCCAATCTTTGCAGCTGATTCCATTTAAAAGGCGACTAAGTACATAGGAAGCGATAATCACAATGTGTGGGCTTAATAGGACGCCATGCTAATTTGCACCCCTACACCAACACTAATGGTTTCATTCTAGCCATTTATTTCCGATCTTGTGAATTATACAAAAGGTTGTCATTTGACTCTTCAAATCTTACTGTATTCTCTAACCTCATTATGAAGAAACTTATGTCAATATATTGCGACGAAAGAAATATTTTTCAAAGCTCATGAATACATTTACATTTACAGTTAAATATTTTCACGTTCGCTCACGCAACTACGCTACGGAAAGTGAAGCCGCCCTTCTTGGACTTGTGGAGTTTCTATAATAAATTAAGCAGAATACATCAAAAGATTTAAATTAATGGTTTTTATGACACACATAAGTTCCCTTCTTATGGTCAATGCAATTAGTGGTTTTCGCATTTTTCTCACTGCCCAAACAGATGACCTCGGAAGTCACAGCGCAATCAGTGACGATGATAAATTAGTAGTGACACGATAATGCGCTTAATATGTTTTGTAAAACTATAAAGGAGGATTATTCCAATTACTATCTGGCGATTTTTCACCGAAATTTACATAAAGTCACCTCTAAATTCTATATTGAAATTGAACTGACTTCGTACGCAAACCTAAAATTGACCTATATAAATTATAAAATAAAATTATTTAATGAAAGATGTTGTAACATATACAGTGTATATATATAATCAATCTTCAACCGCTTCCACATAGTACTTTTTTATAGGCCTCTCTAAATTCATTTTTCATGAATCCATAAACCAGAGGATTGACAGCACTGCTACATGCAAGTGTAAAGATGTTAAAAAAATAAAGTTGTCTAGGTAGGGTGTAATAACCAGCAAAGATCTCGTACAGATCCGCAATGTTTGTGGGGATCCAACAAATGATAAATGCGACTACGGTAACGAATAGCATTGTTGTTACCTTAACCTCCTCAGCGAAGGCAATTGAGCTGTCGCTGTGAAGAGAAGAGTTTGCGACGTGAGCAAAATGCGCGCGGATTTTCCTGAACACTTTATAGTAACTGAAATAGATTGCTAAATACGTTAAAGACATATTAAGGGAGTACGTTATAGTACAATATAACCCCAATGCGCTTTTGAGGTTCACCTTCGCCCAGCATATACCCTTTCCAGGGTGATAAAAAAACACTGTTTCGCCAAACGAAAATGCAACAAACGTGACCAACGTTATTGCAATCCAAGATATCGCGATGGATATGAAAACATTCTTCTTGCTGAATATCTTCTGGTAAAGGCCTGGTAAACATACGATCTTCACATAACGATTCACGGCAATCATCCCCAAGGTAAGCAGCGAAACAGTGGAGCAAACCGAGATCAGACTCCCTTGCAGTTGGCAAATGAAATTTCCAAACGGCCATGTCCCTTGTATGAACACCACAAGTGTCAGCGGCATACTCGTGATCGCAATAACGATGTCCGTGGCTGCCAGAGATAACAAGTAATAGTTCTGCGTTCGTTGTAGCGTTTGAGTTTTGAAAACTGCTATCGTTAACATGATATTTCCCAGGACGGCGGTCAATAACACGACGAGGTAGATCGTAGACTCAATACCAACCAACCAGCTCCCTCTAGAAATAAGCTCTTGCTCGAGTGCTGTGAATCTTTGTTGGGTGTCGTTCATGATGGTATCGGTTGAATTCTTCTTCAGGACCTCTTGTGCCTCAAATTAGTGTTGGCGAGGAACACCTCCGTTTATGAAACGAATACGCTCCCAAGGAAGTTTTAATTGCTGTTATGACGTCAACCGGAGACAGCCCTTGCTTAATTCAAAAGATATGCACTTTCATTTTCTCTCATGGTGTAAGCCGAATATTCGGACCTGTTTCATAAATAAATAAAGTTTACCTATCCGAAAACAAAATGGGCAAAAGCTGCAACGGACTGTGAGTTCAACAGGTTATGAAAAAAAAGGTAAAATTATCTGTAGATCGCGTGAGCAACCACATCATCTGTACTTAGACTGTATTTTGTATTCAAATTTAACACGATTCGTGTCAGTTAAGAATGAAGCACCTGTGTGATACGATATTTGTAACTTATGAATTTTAAACATGGAAACCACTCATTTCAGTCGTCGAAGTAGCTTTCACATAGGCAGCCAAAGTCAACAGTCAACTATTCATATGTGATTAAGGAAACGAAAATACGGTTTCCCACCTAAAAGTTATATTGCTAAGCTATCATCAAGGATTCATTAATACCTTCCACCCCACGCCAATGCAACAACAGTGTATTGCGCATTTGAGGTGACTTCACCGAAATACAGTTACTTTAGGTAAAAAGCTGAAACTGAGCGAAAAAACTATTATCTCTTCACTGGAGAGTTTCGGCATTAAAAATATTGTTGTTATTTGATAGTCAGGCTTGGGGAATTGCTAAATTGAAAAAAGATGAGTAGTAGGTGAAGATCACCCACTACTTGATGCTTTAATTTATATTTATTCGCCGTTGACAATACATGTTTGGAAACTTCTTAAGCTTTCTTTTATAAGCAACAACGGCATCTGCTTAAAGTTTACACGTGAAAGAGCGCGATCTTTCAAAAGTATTGTATTTTTTTCAAACTCAAACAACCCGTGACATCAAATGATTTCTCAAATTTCCGGAGAGAATTTTCAAGAGGTTCCATTTAACGACAGCCAGTTGTCATAAGGCATAAAATTACCATAGTTTTGTTATTTCTGTGTTTAACCATAACTGGTATTGAAAGGAAATTTTTGAAAGGAAATTCAGCAGCTTATTAACTGTAGAACCAAGCCTTTGAATTCAAGTACTTTTATGTACCGAAGCTAGTAGTTAGAGCAACTGTTCGTTTAAGTTTTCTGCCAGAGTTTAATTACAAAAGATCTTTTGGGTTGTAATAACATTTCTAAAAAGGGTCACATATTGTCAATGGTTAATTCAGCTTTGGGACTACTTGCCGAAATTCACGTCGCCCATTCATTTCAATAGGACTAGTTAAACAACTTGTTACTTGAGAAATCAACAAATGCTTATTGCATACATTTGCTGACAGCTGATTTATTTTAAGTGAGAATTCAGTGGGCAACGAAGCTGCTTCTTAATACCTTTCAATTTGTAAGCTATTCACTAGTTTTAATTTAGTTTCGGTAGTTTTTAATTTAGAGTCATTTAGTTCGAACTTTCCCCTCCAAGTAGCGGACACTTGCAACAATAGACCATTGAGCTGAAACTAGAATTTTTATTAGTTTACGCTATCCTCAAACGAGGATAGTGCACAAGCTTTTTCGATTAAATTTTGATTACAAATCAACCTTGATTAAACGTAGTTATATTGTTGCTGCTTGACCAGTTCGTGGTTGGACCAGGTACCCAATAGCCTCTTTCAAGCGCTCAGTTAGTTAGGGTGAAGGGCGAAAAATGGCGCACGAAAAAAGTAGGAGCGAAGCGCGGCGCCCCGGCCTACCCCAACGAACTAAACGCCTGACAGAGGCTGGATACCGGAGAGTGTCATGGTCGCTTCCTTGCAAGGGAGCCGCCCAGTTTGAGTCTAATTTCGCAGAGGAAAAAAAGAAAAATACAAAAAAAACCATCGTTACACAGTTGACAGTTGACAGTAAATGTTCAAAATAAAACGGCTAAGGGAAAATAAATCGATCTCAGTTTACTAAGGCGACGCGACACGCCGGATATATGTGATAAGGACAAAACGTTGCTGGGGCGAGAGCGTCTCCTCCAAAAGAAAGCTATACGATGTGATGAGATGGGATGAGATGAGATGAAATGAGGGCGTCCAATTGTGACGTATAATAAATAAAACACAAAGACCGTGTTTGACCACATTTCTAAAAACCAAACGAACTTGCGGTGTTTGGAAATGTGGTCATACTGTCTTGAGTGTTTGATATGTCTTCTCAATCAAAACTAAAACTAAGGAGAAAACGGAGAAATATAAAAGTCTTAAAAATCTATGCTGATAACAAGATGAGATATCCAGACACCGTCACGGTCTTGATTTCTTTTATTTAAGCTTGATGAATTATTAATGACTTTGAGAAGATATTAGTCCTTCAGTTCTTTCACATATAAATGAATTTCCGAACATGCGTAGAGTAATCGTTTCGTATTCTCAAAAGTTGCTACCTAATTTCTTGATATTTTTATAAAAACGTTTGATTAAAAGCTTTATTTTTCGTTCGTCACAATAACTGCTCTCTTTAGGGAAAAACATACCTTGAAACTTAGCTTTAAAGAGGTGCTCAGCTCGCAAATATTTATTGGGTGAGATTGATCAAAATATCGTGATTTGTCAGTGGCAAGCAGATCACTCGACGAGTGACTCCCAGTCCAGAGAAGGCATTTTAATTTTACTTCTCCCCAGGTCACAACTGACAGTCACGAGTGCTGCGTGTGCGCACAAAGGTCGCGGAAAAAATTTGCCGGAAAGGATATAGCTCTTGCCCGGTCACTACACTTCGTTAATCAGTGACAGATTTATATCGTTTAGCTTTAAAGAGAGCGATGCAAGACGGACAGAGCGAAGAGTCGTTAATAGAAGCTAGGGAGAGATCAGATGGAGAAATCAGAACGAATCGACAAATTGGTAAGGTGCATTGGTGTGTGAAATGTATTGCGAGCAATATTTAAAGCTAGTTGTATTCAGTCCATATTTTATTACCTTATAACTTTCTCTACCGTCTTTTCAAGCCCTGATTCCTTTTCCTAAGCGTTGTTCTAGTCATGAGATTATCTTGCTATCTTTAATTATGCGTTCTTTTGTTTGCAACGCAGAAAGACGTTCTGCAGGGAAGTGTTGTCAAATTTCGCCTTTGAATCTTGTTTGCATCAGCCATGCGTTCTCCGCTTGGGTAAGATGTTGTTGTGAACCGTTCTGTCAACGTTCTTCGAAGCTATAGCTTAATACAAGATGACTGTTTTATCGACGATCGATTCTTTCTCGGTTTTGAATAAGCTTGTAGTTTGAATTCATAGACGCACTACCTAATTGTGTGCAGAGGGGTCTCGCATCACGCAAGACCTCGATCACGCCACATTACGTAATAAGTAATTGGACGGAGCATGGAATAGTAGATTACTATCCATGGACGGAGTGGCATACCGTAGAGTACTATAATTCAGATATAATGTTACAAAGTAGCGCTTGTCCTATTGGAAATTACAAGCCCAATTATCCTCTGAACTGACATGAGGTCCAATTACTTATCATGTTAATCATTTCATCAAACAAATTTGGATGATTTTTCCAAAAAAACAAAAACGAAAAATATTTGCGCCAAATCACTGCTCACTATTTTGTCTGCACTTTCAAAAAAGAAATTATTTAAAAAGCATGAAACACAGGTCACTTATGTTGTGTGCATCCTGTAAAGCCTTGACAATCAAATGTTTGAAATTGTTAACCCGACACGATATTAGACATTAACATTTCATTATAAGCCAGGGATTTTGTAAAGCCAGGGATATGTGAGATTATTTTTGCGTGCTTGTTGTAACAAATTAACTCAGAATCACCGGTGAAAATTGTCAGCTATTTCATCTCCACCTCAAGTGGGTACACTAGGCATTTGCTGTGGAAACTCCCACAAATTGACTTTCCTATATTAGATGAGCGAGCCATTTCTGATCCAGGGGGGGTATGCCCGTATGAAAAGGTCAGGGATGTTGAGGGGACCAATGTGGGTGTGGTTTGAGCTTTATTTGACCCCTAAGTGATACCAAGTGGAATAGGTTTGATTACCAGCAATTGTCCAGGACAGGAGCCTGTGCTAGTACACTGGACTTGAGTGGACAGCGAAAATTGGCAGCTAAAAATAGTAGCATTTCGTCATGAATACACTAAGTATGTGGGACCAGAATCCTTGATTTATACCCTTAAGTGAGATGATGAGCATATCCGACCTTTTCAAATGAGAGTTCCCCGCAACCTATAGTTTCTGATCGTTTTTTTTTTCTTCTTCCTCTTGAATGCTTTTTCTTCCCATGTCTTAAACTACTCATGAGTGCTAATAGATCCAGGGGATGTTTTTATGTCAAAAGAGTCTCTAGGGACACAACAAAAGTCTTCTATTGGTTTAGTAATGCCCAATGGGTGACTGCAGTATCCATGGTGTTGACATATTGTGCAGTAGAGGCAAGAAATGTTCATAAACCTTTTGAAGTGAGAAAAAAGGGTTCTGTAGAGTGTGACTGATTGAGTAATGCATTACTGTATCCAGATGTGCAATTAGCCAATCAGAAGCTGTGTCCGCTGTCCTGATATCGTGTGATATCAAGTCCCAGAAATGCGGGCAAGGAGCGGGGATTTGACAATTATTAAAAAAAATTGATCAAATTCTTCAGGATGGGGAAACAAATGTCGATCAAAAGAATAAAAAACACTCCGTCCTTGGGCAAAATATCCTTGAACTATTTCTGTATAAAACAGATGAAAGATCACTGGAAAAGTAAGTTCTCGCTACCTTTATAATTATTTTGACACAAAACTGAACTGACTTTTAGGGTAAAATCCAATTTAACTGAGTTTTACAATCAACTGTGCACTTGATGTTAAAAAATTTCTCAAAAATAGGCAAAATCTGATTAGATGGCTGTCTAAAGTGTCAGATAAATGGTGGTGAAAACAAATAAAATTAACCGACTTAGTAACTGCATCTAAATTATGTCACAAGGCATCTTTTGGTCAAAGTCAAATTCCCCAACCCTGGGGCTGCTTGGCACAATCAAAAGCCTGACTGGGGGATTTTCCCAAATCCCTACAATCCCTGTAGTTTTACAAAGGGTAGGGAAACATAAATCAAACAATTAGTCTTAGAGGTATCCAGTTACAAAAAGTGGTGACTTCATTGTTCAGGGAAACAAATGGTTTCTTTTGTTTTTTGTTCAACAAAAGATCTCCAAAAGATGCTGCTAGGAAAACAGAGTTTTTTGCCTATGTTATTTCTCAAAAACAAAGACCAAACCAGCCAAAAAAAATTCAGAGCAATGTTTCTCTGGTAAAATGAAGCCCACATGCCAAAATTCAGCTATTTTTGAGCACTTTCAAAAATGGCCGAAAAATCTAGTGGACATTTTTGCCTGCAGTCATTCAATTTGACACCCATATGATCACACCTATTGTGTGATAGATAAGTGTTCAGAGAACCAATCAGACCTAACAAATTTGTAGATGCAAGAAGCTATAGGCCAAATAAGTAATATGGGCAACATTCTCCTTGTGACTTGTCACGTAACAAAGTTTCTTTGCAAGTCCAAAAGCACTGTTGCCAATATTGCCTCTTTTTGGTAACTTGTAGCAACATGTTAGGTAGAGTAGAAATGAGATCAATGCTTTGTTAGTAATTGTGGACCATGGCCTTTCATGCTCCCAACAGAAAACCCTGTTTTGTTTTTTAGGATTGCGAAGCTGAATGTAGGCTGATTAACTAACGCACAGTTTATTGTCATTCTCTATAGGGGGATCGCATGTGGCATTTTGCGATAGGTATTTATCTGGTTGAACTCACACCAGGATCTTTGCGTTTGACAGCCATCTATCAGCTTGTCAGTACTCTGTCAATCATTATTTTTGGTCCATTAGTCGGAGACTGGGTAGATGCCAATCCTCGGCTGAAAGGTACTAGTAGTATTCTTAATCTTAGTTGTAGTTTTAAATCTTAGTTGTAGTCTTAACGTTTTAGCTTTTATTACTGTACAGTATTTTAGACCTTTAATTTTTGGTGGACCCTCTTGAAAACCATCTCTAGGAGATTGGTGGCCTCCTCATAAAGTATTAATTTATTACAAGTGTTATTATTCTTATGTAAACAGTAACCTCCATTTGGCACAAAAACACCCTTAGATATTTGTCCAGGGCATTATCTGTTCCAAGAAGTGAATAGTTTTCTGAGAGTGTAGCTCAAGGAAAACTGTGAGCTTTGAGGAACAGATAAGGTCCAAGGATAAATATCCAAGCATATTTTCATGCAGAATGGAGGCTATTGTGTTTATTGTCCTTTACTCTCACTATAGTTGTATACAGCTGCCAATAAAAAGCTTAAAACTTATTTTCAAAGCAGAGAAGTACTACAATACAAAAAATAAAATCCTTTATTTGCCCACGCAACATTTAGGAGTAATAAAAACTCGTTAAAAAAAGGTACCTGCGAAAAAATGGAAACAATAAAATTAACCTTAACTAACACAAGCAATAAAAATATTTTAATAAAAATATATTTATAGATATACTATATTAATCTATATACAATCACCATACAAGGTAGAAAATATGCTTATTTAAAATACGCTTAAAAGTAAGAACATCCTTGGCTTCTTTAACATAAGGAGGTAATGAATTCCACATCTTAGCAGCTAAAAATGAAAATGATCTGTGATGCCATTCTAAATTAAAATTAGGTAGCATTAAAAGAGTGTCAAATTACAAATTTTGGTATTAAGAAAATCTTGTATGCAGGGTGGGGCTTGATTATTCATGCATCGGCAAACTAAACCTAGTGCCTGAAAATTTCTTCTTTCTTCTAGCGTTTTTATTTTAACCAAATAAATAAGGTTTATGTTTATCTGGGGCTTTTTTTTTTTGACGTCACACCATTACATCTTTTCATTTCAGTTGCTCAGGTCTCCTTGATCATTCAAAATGTTGCTGTGATCAAGTGTGGGGTTTTGCTTTTGATTATGTTGGAACTGGAACAGCACATTCAGCATCCTTTCATCACATTGCTTGAAGCAGTCATCATCGTCGTTGGCTCTGTAGCAGACTTGTCAAGTATTGGCACAAAAATTGCTGTAGAGAAGGACTGGGTAGTAGTTATTGCTGGCTCAGATAAATCACTCCTGGCAAGTAAGTAAGCTCCTGTGGTTTATGTGTGTGCCACAGGAAGGGCCTTCGTTTATTCTCCAGGTTTTTCTAGGATTTATGATTAACTCAATGTCAACATTTCGGGGAGAATGAAATTTACCCTACTGATTAATAAGCAATTAATGACTGGCCCCAAGGAAAACAGTGAGTTTTTTCCCCCAAGACTCGAGGCAAATGTTTTTTTATACCTCTCCACTCGAAGTGGAAAAAAAAAAACTATGACAAAATATTTTTGCTTCACGCCGACTGGCACACCAATTTGCCGCGGTTTCAAAGTTTTTTTTTCTCTGGGGATTGAGTGAGTTTTGTTCCCCATAGGCAGTTAGTGAGTTTTGACCCACGACACGTGACGCGTTCTCCTCCAATTGGAAAACGTATTTGAGTTGGGAGGCATAACAATTATAATGTCTTATTATCTAATTACACAGCATAGAATGCCTAAATAGCAGCGAATTAGACGATTTCAGTTAAACATTTTCACCCATCTGAAGCACTGCGTCTAAAAAACTGTGTTTAAATTGGCGTTTAGTTCATAAGCGCTGTAGATAGCCAATGAAGAAGATATGTAACAAGCGCGTGATACTACATATGAGGTCTACTCTGTACAGGAGGCTAGTCAACCGTGAATTTGACCGTAATTTTCCCCATCAAGACAACGGTATGATCTAATTTAAGTTTTAACGTTCTTAATTTCAGGTACCAATTCTATTTTGAGAAGAATCGATCTTTGTTGCAAGATCCTTGCACCGATTCTCGTTGGCCAGATTATGACGTACATTTCCAAAGTGGCCGGGGTCCTTTTCCTTGTGGGCTGGAATGTGGTGTCAGTTTTTGGAGAGTACTACCTCTTGTGGAAAGTCTTCCAGGCTGTGTCCGCATTGTCCCAGAAAGTCTTCGATACGAGGCACGATGAAAATGAGGAAGATGCTTCCTCAGTGGACCTCTCTACTGAGGAACCTCGAGGTTCCAGAGAGCGCTTGGATTGGATGGAAAATGAAGACCCTGGAAGGGGCCAAACAGGGACCGAGGCTTTGGTCCCTGCAGTTAGTACCAGACCTTCCCGCCAAAGAGCACGAAAGCCGAGTATATCCGCGCGGTTTAAGAAAAGGATCCTAACCTTCAAAACTGGCTGGCACATTTATTTTAGACAGAGTGTAGCTCGACCAGGACTGGCTCTAGCCTCGCTGTATTTTACAGTGATTTCGTTTGGCGCCATAACCACAGGCTATGCGTACACACAGTGCTTGAGTGAGTCAATTCTGAGTATTGTTCGTGGTGTCGGCTCCTTGTTTGGAGTGTTTGCGACTTTCATTTATCCCCGTTTGAGAAATGCTGTTGGTGTTGTTCGCTGCGGGTTATTCTCCATGTCATTTCAGTTTTCGTGTCTCCTCTTGTGTGTCGCTGCCGTTTTCGCACCAGGTTCTCCGTTCTTCTTGTTACCGGAGAATTACAGGCAAGTTCCCTTGCCTCCATGCAAGCCAACTTACAACACAGCACCAACGTCAATAACAGCTTGTATGGATCAAGAACCTTCCAATGCGTCGCCTACTGCTCTACGTCCCTCGAATTTACCAGATATGGCAAGAGGAATTCCGTCAGCTTATCTCAATTCCACTGTACGTCCAACGTCGACATTATTAATGAAGTCGTCATCCCTTGGTGCTTTAAATGTAACAACGCTATCACCAAAAACAGCGATTATTTCTCCAAGTAAAACCAGTATGTTATTTCCCAGTTCAAGTATCTCTCCATCGAACCGAAACTGTAGCTCAAATACGACCGCGTTGCCCGCTTCAAGCTACCGTATCTCTTACATCTCTATAGGCCTTCTCTTAGCGGGAATTGTCACGTCTCGCCTTGGGCTCTGGTTATCTGACCTAACCATCTCGCAGTTGTTCCAAGAGGCTGTTCCTGAACAAGAAAGAGGGATAGTAGCTGGAATGCAGAACTCGTTCAACTCCATTTTAAGCCTGATCATGTTCTTCTTGGTGATCGCTCTTCCAAAGCCTGAAACCTTTGGCCTCTTGGCTCTCATGTCTGTTTTCGCTGTGGGAATAGGTGGTGTGCTGTACGCCTCATTTACGTACAAGATCCGCGGCCATTTATTTCATTTCGACAAACTGGGGAAGTTTTGTGGCGCGTCTGCTCCCATAAGCGAGCGAGTGCCAAGTTTGCCGGATGATCTTGATCTTGAAGACGAGGAAGAAGCAATGATTAGAGGCGTTTTAAGCACCAAGAATGAAAACTTTTCGTATTGATGAACTCACTGTATCGCTGGAAGAAAAGCTGGTGTAAGACAAGAAGAAAAAAAGACTCCCATCAACTGAACTGTGTACCCGACAGGGATATAGTCTCCAAAGTGTAGTGGGCTGAGCAAATGAGCCAAACAGACACAGAATGTAGCCTGAAATGCCAGTCATCTACCGCCTTTAGCCAAACTTGTCCCCCGGCGAGAGAAAGGAAAGGCTGAAGGCGGGAGAAGACTGGCTAGCACAAAATGCCATTTTTTATGTTTATAGCCTGCGTAGTGTCTTAGTTTGATTTGCGTTGTATTTAAACGAGTCTCGATAATTCAAAGCAGTTTGAATTTTTTAACTTTCAACCGCACTTTCTTGATATGCATTAGGGAGTTAAAGCAACCATGATCGCGGTGAATCCCGCGATAATCCAGTCATTCAGTTTTTCTGCCACTGTCACTGCTGTCCCAAAACTGAATGTGTACAACAGCATTGAATTCGAAAGAGACATTTTGAAATTGGCTGTCGTAGCAAGTTCTCTCTTGGACGCGGAGGGGTGAGAAATTGAGAAATTAAACAGATGGAAAATAGCTGGAGTGACGACAAAGGACCGGCAGATCTGGAAGGATTACGCGGCTTCATTACACGCCATACACCGACGGGTAATAGGCATGAATTAGTCGTAGTTTTCATTCTCCAGAACACCGGTGTCAATTTGCAGAAAACGGCACATAAATATGTACAAAGATTTACCACGCACGTGCAAAGCCATTGTTCTTCTCATCACACTTTTGGTTAGTGACGTTGCCGTTGCTGTTATGGTTTGCTACAGCTCTCTTTTATCCAAAATGCATGTTGGATATATTGACACTCAACTTTGCTTGGTTATAATTTATTACAGCATTAATTAGTACGGTTCGTGTAGAAGCTGCAGAACGAGTATTACGAAACGATTTTGACGTCACTCGAGGCAATACTGTTAATTTTTTTTTTATAAGAGATTGTTGTAAATAATTTTTGTCTAGTTAGTTATTGCTCAAAATTCACTGAAGGTTGTTGCTTGCTCAAATGCTCTCTTCTCATCGTACAGGTCTCTCAAGGAGCTTGGGGACCTGTGCGACGGTAGTTCAAAGGATAGACTATAGACCCTTTTCATAAATAGCTGCCAATTTAAAACTCTTTTGTATGTATTTAGATTAGCCTCACAAAACTCGTTTGGGAGTAAAATTCTTTGAATTATCAACTCAAGAACGAGGTTAGCCATGCTAATTTTAATACTTACAATAGAATTTAAAATTGGCAGCCATTCATGAAAAGCGTCTATGAGTAGTCCCTCTTTCGCTTAGTTCGTCGTGCGTGACGCGAAAGAAAACCGCGAGAAAAAAATGCGGATTTTACGCGGCCATTTTTTCCTCGCAGTTTGTTTACGGACTCGCTCGACGGCCTAAGCGAAAGAGTACTACTCGTAGTCTATTCAAAGGATGAATAACGTTATTCGCTGGGTAAATTGGTATCCCGTGTATGGCGTAGTTTGTTTTGTTGACACTAGTTCAGTGGATAAAAATTTCTCCACCGGATAGCGCTATACACTGAACACGATTCATGCGCGTGTTGAAGTTTCTTGCGTCAGCCTGAGCGCGGAAATTCAATAACTTGCAAATTCAGTTACATTTTTGATGTTCACAAAGTGCAAAGTAATAAATTGCAAGCATAAACAAAATAAGAGGACAACAGAAAAACAAGCGTAAAAAGATAAACCATCTCCGTGCGGCTTCCATGTGTTTCGTCTAATCTTGTGGGGCTACCGCTGGTGGTGTGAACTGCGTACGCGCTGAAGCAATAGCGTGGGAGACTTCTCATTGTTTCAGAATTAGTCACATGACCATGGCCCAGCTTCTCAGAGGTTTCTTCTTGGGTCAAAAGAACTGCGAACCTAAACAAAACGTCGTGTTTACGGTGAATACATCTGTTAGGGCTAGGTATATTCTACAAGCAATGTACAAGGCGGTTTCTAGAGGAAAAAAAAGCAAAACAAAATTGCGATTCGTTTAAAACTGTTTGGAAATTGACGAGCACCATCTGAGGTACTTTACCGGCGGAACGGATGGTCGCAAGATGTTCTCATCAAGAGAAAACAGTAACTGTCATTTCTTGCTAATTCTGATTGTTCCGGGCGGGGGGGTTATATACCATCACAGGTAACATTGTCGTAACGGGTGACTTCTCAGTACTGTTCAACCGTCAGTTATTTATTAACTCATTTCTGGGTATTTGAGAAAGGACTGAACATATTGCCTCGTCTGAGTTATCATTGGAGTGTTCATTTGCATTTGCCCGCTAAACTGGTCTTTAATTTGCTGTGTACATGCCTTGTCCAAAACTGCAACACGTGCATAAAGGTGTATACACTGCAAGTAAACAGTGATTTGGTTGCGTAGTAATAACGCCACATAACAACTTTATGGCACTGACCAACTGAAATTCAAGTCGATATCTCCTTAATTCAAAGCCTCTGGAGAGTGACAAGGGAATGCAAACTCAAGTCACTCAAGTCAGACTTCTCGAAAATTGCGCATTGGACACAAGGGAGCATTGAAGAGAAGCAGATTGTAAGAAAGCTCTCTTGCTCCTCAAGAGAGCCGGCGGTAACGCGGTAGTCTCCCATATAAAAAGAACGGGGTGTTTGTTGTACGTTTAAGGGGTTAAAAAAGCTGTTTTGGTAGCTCTTAGGGTTATCAGCCTCAAAAGGTCCTCAGCGGGAGCTTTTGCGGTACCTTTTAAGGTATTGAGCCGAAAAAATATGACACGAGATAATGTGTTGTTTCAAAATTGATACCTCTTGGGGGGTGAAAAACATTTCAAGCCACGCCCACAAAACAGGATCTTGGTACCTCTTAGAGGTTCTCTTCGAAATTTCCGACGAGCACCCCTGATCTTTTTATATGGGAGTCTCCACACCGGGCGGCGGCACACAAGGCTTTTAAAACAGTGAGAGCTTTGTGATAATAAAGGAAATACCGCATTAAAGACACCTTTAGCGACATTTAAATGAATATATTTCAAACAAACCAACTTACATTTTAAGACTTTAGATCATTGCACTAACAACAGGTAATTTTTTTTTCCTTGACTTTACAAATTGCATGCAATACAAAAAAATATATAAAATTCAACTTTGGTGTTTTTTCCTTTCATCGGCTTGAAATTGACTCTGGCTCCAAGGAGAGTCTGTCGACCACAATACTCAGCCAGTGACTGAGAGTAAAACCGACACGGTACTGATTCTTACTGGCGAACAAACGTCTTGCCCCTGCAAAATGTTTTGACAATAACAAGAATTAATAACACACCAAAGCCTGCGACAGACTAGCACAAGAATGGCAAAGAGAACCCCACTGGCCAAAGAGATCAACATGGGTTTCCATATAGAAGCAGTAAAAGTTGGTTTCATGGCATGCAGACGGTAATCTATTTAAACTGTGCAACTTGCGTATGTTCACGTTTTGAGAGTCTAACCATTACAGTGTGTTCAGTCTTTCAAGGTTGAATTGATGACAGTGAACTTGAAGTTTTCTGTGTATTCTTGAAATCAAGAAGCGGCACCTTTATGGCAGGGTCCCTTCCAAACACTTACCTACTTACTGTAGACCCAAAGATTTTTAAAAGGCAATACAATAACCATTCAAGACAAAGTATTTTCAATAATAGTTAAGGTTTGTTGCTGACTCGGCAGAAACCATAAAATCAGGTGATCTTTGGAAATGCTGGGAATACCTTGGGCCACACCTCTAAACAAGTCACGTGTCTTCCACATGGCATGTGGACTAACTTCAAAAATCATCACACTACCAGATACCCACTGTAAAATCCCACTCCTTTGTCGATGTATGGACATGTTGCAAAAAAGCTGTACATACTTCTTGTTTAAGCTTTTTGTAAAGATTTTGTTAAGAACATTGTACGCAATTCACATACGTTATTGTCTTCTTCTCTGTTGTCTTTGGTTCTGGTCTTGCTCTGTTGAGTACTTTGATAAATTCTGTTGTTCTGGCTCGCATCCTGGAGTGAAGGTAGGCCTGAAAACACCAAGAAAAATGCTACAAGCCCTAACTTATAACCAGTCTCCTGTAACTCAGTGGAGGATGGTGGCCTCAATGGGTAGTGCACTCTACTCCAAATCAAGCGGTCTGGGTTCAAGCCCTGGCTGAAGACATTGGGTTGTGTTCTTGCCCAAGACACTTTACTCTCACAGTGCCTCTCTCCACCCAGGTGTACAAATGTGTACCAGCAAATTTAATGCTGAGGGGGTTGGGGGGGGGTAGCCCTGAGATGGACTAGCATCTCATCCAGGGGGGAGTACTATTCCTTGTCACTTCATGCTACTGAAAACGGAATAAGCTCCAACCTGATGGACCCCTTGGTTTGTATCCAGACTTAACCTTTTACCTGCACCTTGGCTCAGTTGTTTGGGATAAGGACGTTACAGGTTCAAATCCTGATGGGGACTCAGAACCTTTCCTTTGCAGACAAAATAAATGAAAGTTACTTAATATACCAAGTCCAATGCTGTTTCTAATAACTGTATGATCAATACATTTGACTTTAATTTGTTTGCATCAAGCCCATGAACAACACGAATATTCTTGGTTTGAAGCTTTTTGGAAAGAAACAAACCTAGGAAAGAAGTACCTTAGAACATTTGATGTGGTAGTGCAGGTAATTCCTGAAGGTATGGATAAGATTGATGGTACTGTCACGTGCATCAGCTTTTGTGTGCCTTGGCTCAAGGACTGCAAAGGACATTTACATCACAGAATCAACAAAACTATGATTGGGTGTAAAACAATGTAAAATTCCACACTACAAGTAAAAAAAATATACATCAGTCATAATCAACTTTATAACACATTGACGCGTGTGCTGGCTGTGCCGGCTGTAACCTGCTGTGATGAGTGTTGGCCTTTGTTCCGTTTCTGACCTCATCACCTTTGACCAAAATTGGCATCATCTATACTCAAGTTCTGCAGGAGGAAAAGACCTTTCCAATGATACCCAGATCAGAGTGATCAGGTCAGTGGAGCCTGAAATATGCACGAAAATGCTCAGAAATTTGAGAGAAAAACTCTGAGCAAAGTGTCCTTGGACTACACTTGGCTATTCCATGGTAAGAATTTCCCATCTCGATAATGCCGTCTCGCGAATTTTGTAACTAAGAGCAAGCCCAGAAGAAGATCAATCACTGCAGCAAAAAGATAAGAAAAGGAGAAAAAGGAATGGCAAAAAAAGAAAACAAAAACCAACAAGAACAAAAAAGCCTAAAGATGTAGGTCACTTTCTCATCCAAAAACGATCTCGCAATTTTGATTTCTACACATGCCCCAGCAAAAATGGTCCAAAATGCGATGCTAGTAGAAAAAAAGGTATGCTGTCATGCTGCTAATGCCTTTTTGAGTAGATTGCAGCTAATTTGGCTGATATATAGACTGAAAATGTCCAAAATGTCCAAAAAATGCATTTTGGCAAAAAGCTCCAGGAGTCAGTGGGTTAAGTAGTTCACTGTGGATTATCCCTGAGATTTGGCAATAATGGATAGTACAATATACGCACTAACCAAAGGTGATGTATCCTATGTTGTCGCCTGTCTTAGCATCAGTGCCTTGAAGTTCTTTTGGCGGCTCCTTGTGACTAAATAGCACTTGTGGTGCTGTCTGACTGGCACGGCGTCCCTCTTTGAATTCCTAATTACAAGTTCACAGAAATATTAATGAAAGATAAATACTACATGTATAGACATAAACTTACTGGTGTGGGGTACTGGACAACAAAAATAGCTGCAGGAAGAGTGTAGCAAGCTGAGTGCAATGTGGCAAGGAGGAACTGAGCTGTGAGTTCTTCCTTCCCACCCATTCCACTCATCTTGTACTGCGCACCATTTTATTTTTGCCCTATATCCTAAGAGAAAGCCAGTTGATAGCCTATNTTCGGTCTGTACTCACGACCTCGGTCAAGATTCTCCCATACAGACCTCCAGCTCGGTTGATAAGAGCTAAATATTGAGTTTCAGACTGCATGGGTTTAAATTATGAAAGGGGTACATGCAATATTAAAGTCATGAACTATGAAAGCCTAGAAGAGACTTCAAACTTCTCTGTTAGCTTTCAACTTTAAAAAACTTCCCTGGCTTCAGTTCTGGAATGTTGCAAGTAAAATCCATGTAGTAACTGACATATTGCTAGTGGGACATGTCAGAAATACATGTAGTGGTAAGCAAGGTAGAAAGAAATTCCATTAACCTGCATGAAGACTTTGCCAATGATAACATCATCGTCATCCCTGAACACAGTGCTAAAGACAACGGTTACACGGTCATCTGTTGCTTGAACATACCTGCAATGAGAGTTAAACATAAAACATAAAATCTCAAGACATAAGTGGCTGATGCCTTGGAATGGATTGCACCTCAAAACCAAGAAGTGTAGCAGCTCTTGTAAGCTTCAAATTCAAATTCTTGTCATAGTGTAGCAGCTGTGATTGTCTTTTGGGTGCTATTGCCCTCACAAAGGATATTGAGTTAGTCATGTGAGGCCTTGTGAGAGATGCTTCTTAACCTTCCAAGACCCTTTCAAGAGGTAAGTAACCCCTGTAAGCCCTGACAGTAGACTGAACAGAAAAAGAAACCTATGTGTGGACTGTACATGCATGCAAATTAATCTACTGTTATTAAGCGCACAATGTAATTCCAAGTTAAAAAACTTTGTAAATGCCTATTTGAGTTGAACTGTAAATTGTTAGGATGCAATTGCCAAAGAAAAAATGTGAACAAGAATTGTTCCACTCACATGGACTCGTCTTCTCTGTAGTTGATGACAGCATGAGTTTCCCCACCAGAGCCTGCTTGTTGATAGTCAAAGTACTTCTCAAACACTGAAGCAAAGCAGTTTCTTTTCAACATGGCAAATTTCTGGATAAGTTCCTCTGTAAGTAACATAAACAAACAAGGAAACAAGAAATTTACTAACAATTCACACTACAAGCAAGAGTTGTATATAATGACAAAAAAATGTACTGCACATAGTGGCAGATTATATCGGTCCCATACATAGCTAGTTCTGATGTGTCTCTGTTGGGCTTATCATTACATTGCCTGTCTGCTGATGTCCATTGTAACCAAGGGGTTTCGTTAACATTTTCAGCAGGACAGCAATTGGTTTTCACAGGTGGGCAAAACTATCAGAACTGAACTTCTTTGTAAGGAAACGTTCTGCTAGATGGTCAAACCAGCTAGGCAAAATTGTCCTCACAGCTGGTCAATTTGCTCAGTGCCCGGCCCTTAATGAAACCCCTGGTAACCCTTCCCTAAAGCTACTCCAGAAAAAATGCAGCCACCCCATTATTGTGGGCCACTTTCTTTGTTTTAAACAAATTCTCAGTTATTTCTCACTGAAAAACCTGTTACACCTCAACAACTTTGTTAATATGAATTACAACCACCTTCTGGGTTTATTGTTCAGAAATATACCCCTCATGATGCCACAATTCAAAATACCTGATAAAATAACAATAATATTGACAAAAAGCAGTACATCATTCATGTGTACTGTGGCATCAGAATTCGACATACTAGTCATGGGTTCAGTGCTCTAAAAAAATTTGAATTCTGCCCTTAGGACAAGTATCTCTCAAATAATGCTTTCCCTGAGCTAGTCGTAGTCTGCTCTCTTAATGATTTAGTTGGTAGATGACTTGCCTGATCCCTTGCCCATTGGAAAGTAGTCGTAAGTAAGTCGATGTCACACAACGGGGAGGAAGCGGGGGAGAGGGAGCATTGCATTGTGTGACATCCACAAAAATGGTTACAGAGGAGACTAATTGAAGGGGTGCGTAAAAAAAGACCTAACTGACTCTTTATCTCACATTGAATTCTCCTGTTTCATAGAAGGAAGCGAAAAGCAATTTGCAAGGAGAATCCATCCTGTTCTGATACCAAGAGTGTCTGCAAATGGGAGATTTGACTGTCTTTTAGTTGTGATGCACCATAAAGAGTGCAATGTTGTAGAGATGACAAATTAGATGTTAATTGTTATTGGAAACCAGATGTCATTGCAAAGACGTAATGTCTCTAAATCAGACTTAGCTTAATACTTAATTCCATGTTATTTAAGCAACTCATAGTACTATATATAGAGGATATTACATGGGTGTACAAAGATACAAAATTTCTCTTTGCGTGTTGAAAAATATTTCACCGTTCACTGCACTCACTCATGAAATATTTTTCAACACAAGAAGAGGAATTTCTTATCCCCAAGCAAGGATGTAGTTTTCTTTTTACTTCACAAAATTCTCACTATACATAATTAACATTTTTGGCAATTTTCCAAAGATTTCTGACCACTTTCTGAAGATTTCCAAAGATTCCCCTAAATTTGTGTGAAGGCCAGACAAACATTTCTGATTAGAACATTTTCTGAAGATATGTGAAGATGACCAAAGATTGCCGAAGACTTCTGAAGAAGATCCAAAGATGTTTTGATCATACACCAACAAATTTAAATGCAGTTAAAGGGACAAAAATGATATCAAAAATGATATCACACATATGTGGATAAAAATGATATCCTCACATGTGGGATAATAATTGTTTCTATCAATTTGCTACCACTTATTACACCACTAACTTTTATATAATAAAGTACAGTAATCATCACCTTTTCCACGTTCATCAGCAGGAAGTTGCTCTAGGTCAATTAACAGGGACACATCATACGCTGTAAAATGAAACAGGAGTGCATGTAATATTAAAGATTATTGCACCATGTACACTGTAAAATAAGGAAATTCATCAGATGTATTAGATAGCATTTGAAAGCCTGAGTTGTACATATGTTTGAGCGACAAGTGGTTTGCTACACCTAACATCTACAAACAGCTAATTAAACCAAAATGGAGAAATTACTAAAGGAAGCTGTTATTTTAATTATTTGTGGTAAGTAGCACAATGTGACAATTACATACAAACCCAAGGGTTTCATTAAGGGCTGGGAATCGGGCAAACTGACAGGCTGTGAGGACGATTTTGCCCACCTGGTTTGACCATCTGAGGGCTGTCATCAGGTTTTGAGTTACCTGTAGCCTCGTTCTCCACACCCGTAACAAACTTGTTACGTTGTGATTGAATTCTATCAACAACAGGCAATTTCACCAGTGTAGCATCAAGGGAAAATCAAGCATGCTCAGTGGTAACAGGTCTAGCGGAAAGGTTTTTGTTATAAAAAAGCTCACTTCAAAAACTTTTGCCTGCCTGTGGAAACCAGTTGCCCTCCTACCAAAAACGATAATGAGGCCCCTGCAAACCATGTGATGTAAATATATTTTACAACTATAAATTAAGTATATGAATAACACATTGTACTCACATTCTTCAGTAGTTGTCATGAAGCTTCCATACACTCTTTGCAACAACTACAAAAAGACACAGAGATTTGTGTGTAGGTTTAATTATTAGCTATATAATTTAGTAGTGGAATCATGACTTTTGATCGGCCACCCTGTAAATATGACCACTTAAACAAAGCATTATTTTTTTTTGCTACCAATGCCCATAGCAACTTTCATAAGGGTTCTCTACAGCTCAGTAGAAAAAAACAAAAACAAAGCAAAACAAAATAAATGCTATCGATTGAAAGGGAATACACTTATTAACTGTGATTATTAAATCCTTGTTTGCAGGATTCATATGCCGAGTGCTTATGCTACAATAGTTGTGTTTTTAAAGAGTACTAGAAATAATTCTTGACTCAGCTTCTGCTAGATTCCATTTAAAAATCAAGGAAGTTTCTTTAAATTCTCAAGTTAAACTTCTTAATTTCTCTGTTTCATACTAATTTAGCTTGTGTTATTTTAGTGTGATATTTTCACATTTTTTTCTGTTTCGCACCTTAATCCTTAATTATTCTTATTTTCATCATACATTGTTAAACTATTTATTGCTCATTTTCAATTGGTATTCTTGTTCAACTGACGATGGATATCATTTCATCCGAAACATATTTGTTATTTAATATTATTAAGATATGAACTTTGAATACATTGTGTGGTTTCTGAAAGCATTATCACACCAGAAATAAGCCTTAAAGTTTTGGACAGCTATACTTTAAAGTGTACTAAAACTGTGAGACTGCATGTACTTGTGAATTCCAATGCCAGCACACCTTGTTCTCTTTTTTCCCAAATATAATTTGAGCTCCGAGTGTTATAGAAAATGCAATGTACATGTATGTATGGCATGCTTAAGAACATGCAGAATAACATCAACACATGCAGGAGCATGACTTTTGATTTATCAGACGAGTAAAATAGATCCATTTCAGGAATTCCCAATTTCAGTAATTCCCATTTCAGTAATTCCCAATCTGGAGGACAAAACAATGGTTGTTCTCTCCCCTGAGAGAAACAAACCTTTCAAATTCAAGACAATCTTATTGTTTTGTCCTCCAGCTTGGGAATTAACTGAAAGGGGTCTATTATGTCGAGTATAACATAGTCTCAAAGTTACCTCATCAGCTCCATACTTTTGTAAATCAGAGTAGAATTTCATGGAAATGCTTAGCTGCAAGGAGAGAGCAAATAAAAACTAGCTCAAATAATAAGTTATAGATGTCATTCCTCTGTGCTTTTCATTAAAGGGGCTAGGTCACACTATTTTAGGCAATTTTGTTTAATTTTGTTAATAATGAGCTCTAAACGTCAAATTGGCAGAGCAAGAGTCTTTCATTTGCAAAATCACAGCCACATAACAAATGAGAATGATTTTCTAGCTGTGTAAATGACATTTTGATATAAACTGATATATATTTGAAAAAAGGTGGGTTGACGTTTTTCAAATTTACCCAAATGTAATCCATTTTACTCTTCTCCAGTTTTGTCCATCCATGTCCCTTCTTGGCTTTCCTTTGTTTTGTTTGAGATCTTCTATAGTTTTGAACCACTTTTGTGATATTTTAGCTAATTCTATGACCATTTGATCAGTGCTGAAATTGCCTAAAATTGCGTGACCTAGCCCCTTTAAGCTTATTAGTGTAGGTAATTGTATGAGTGCAAGTGCAATATTTAAGAATTTTACACTACAAGTGATATTTCAAAATTATCCTAAAATTGCACAAGCCTAGGGCAACTGCAATTTGAAAGAATTTTCAAATATCACGAGTGGTGAAAATCTTTAATTACTTCAGCTTTCATGCAATTACTCATTTATAATATGCGACTGACAAAATTAAGAATGTGGGTGGATGTTGAGGGGCTATAGGATCCATGTGATAGTCTCAGAAGTACCCTTAATGTAATGCATAGTCACTGTAGGGTAGTGAAAGGTGGCAGGTTTCTGTTAGCTTCATCAGTTTCAGTAGGTCGAAGAGTGTTTCATCTAATAAAGTCAGCATTGGGTAGTTCCAAAAATATCCATGCCTATACCATTGGCACCTTTTTGGAATTCCATGAGCAAGGAGGGTTCATTGAACTGGAAATCCAAAGGCATGGAGGGTACTTACAATTGAAATTTTGAAGGCATAGGGAGTTTTCCAGAGGGGACAGACAAGAGTGTGAAAGCACAAACAAACTGATGACACTGCTCATGACCATGCAAAGCAGGATACAAGTCAGGCATCGATTGATCAGGTATGTGTTTGCTTTCATTTGACACAAGAAAACCGATAAAAAGTGGGTTACACATCAAGCTCAAGAGGCCTTAAAGTTGATAAACTTTTTTCCCAGATTAACTGTTTAAGCGTTTGCAAATGCATGTCAGGTATAGGATACTGATGACCAGCCATGTTTGTTTGGGGGCCCATGAAAAATATGCACCAGTAACATATTCATAAAGAAACCACTTCAATAGCCTCTCACCGAATGAATATCATTCATAATATCAAAGGTAAAGAAGGCAGGATTTGCCCCCAAATTTCCATAGTAATCAAAACACAAAATGAAATTGTATTAGTCAAAACCTAGATGCAAAAATGTGACTGAAGAGGAGGAAGTCTTTAAAACTTCCTCCAACAGTCGCCAAACATTTAGTCACGAATGCAGACAGCTGACTGAAAATTATTAGCAAAACCATCTCATAAGCATTAAATCTCTTTCGCTGGAACTCATAGGGAGTCAAACAAGGAATTCCAGAGGGTTGAAGTAAAAACAGCATTTTGGAATTTCCAAAGCCAAGGGGGGAGAGGGTTAAAATGTTCATACCACCCGTGGTAGGGTATGGATATTTTCTGGAATTACCCATTGTAGCAGTATTGCTTGCTAGCAAGTGGAGAGGTGCGGCAAGATTCATATGTAATAAAAGAAACCCTCAAATATCTTACCCTCAATTTTGATTTTTCTCCATCAGGGTTGGAGATATGGAACTGAACTCCATCAAAATCTGAGAAGGAAACGTCCAGCAGATTAAATATGTGAAAAATATCCGGGGTTTGCGCTGAATATTTGGCTAACGATAACTCTGTATAACTGTCATAACTTTAACTTTATCATTAACTACGCGAGTTCTTATAACAAAATAACTCGTAATGTTCACATCAAACCCTTAGCTGTAATTAACAGAGCAAGACATTGCTTTCTCCATAAATATTGGTCGATGAAAGTTTCCACGATGAAAGCCCAGGTAGGAGCTGATTTCAAACCTTTGTAAAATAATTATTTTAAGCTTTCAGTTCTCAGTGGTAATTTTCTTGTGGCTATGTTCAGTAGCAGCGTTACTTGGAGTGAACAAAGAAAGTATCATATTAAAAAAATATACACAAAACAAAACAAACCTGCCACTGTTATATCCACCGACTCAAACTTTCCTCTGTGTAAAGGAAAAGATAAGCTAAGCGTAAGCTCAAATACGAAAATTAAGCTTACGAGATCGCCTACACATGCGCAAAATCAAGCATAAACTGCAATCTTACCCCGTAAACTTAGCTCTCAATGTTTCTTCTATGACTCTGTTGTTTATCTC